ATCCTTTGTCCTAATGGAAGCCTGGTGCTTGGGCCTGATAAAGTGTGATGGGATTTGTTTAAAGACAAGTTCATTAAGGAAAAGAAGAATTTATTTTTCAGAGTATCCTTGTGGTGCCAAGAGTGGGTAGAGCTCAGAAAGGATTTCCTTGGGGCTGTCAGTGTGAAGGGCCATTTGGGGAGAAAACCACAGCAATTCAGTTCCTACTGGAATTGAGATGCGTATAGGCAGTGCTCAGCAGAGAATAAGGCAGGGACCATGCAGGGTGGGGAGAAATGCTGGGGCCATGAAACTTCAGGGATCCCAGAGAAGTGAAGAACAAGCAGAAAAAAATGCTGCTTATATCAAGAAGCAGCAGGAGCTCTCTTGTGCACAGACCAGATCAACAGGCAGTTGTGGAGGATGTGCAAATACCATGGTGTCTTCCAGTACCTTTGAGTGTGCTTGTGGAGCAGGGGGCACTTGCTAAGTGATGATGCTGAGGAAAGCATATGGATTGCAATTGCTTATGGTCCATGCTCCAGGAGCACAGAGAGGTAGAGAAAGCCTCTTTGCTTTATCCTCTGGTCAAGGCGTCACACACGATCAGAGTGCAAACTAAGGAAATCAAGATCTGGCTTGACAGAGAAGACTCCCATGAACAATTTCTGAAGAAGGTTTGAGCTGAAGTTTTGGCTTTAGGCCTAAACTACCAAATCAGCATTTCCAATGCAGTAACAACCTGAAGATTGATAGATGAATTTCCATCTAGCTGCTCCAGTCTGTTCTCAGTCATCAGGCCTGATATTTTCTCTAAGCCTATTGATACTTTAAAGGAGTTTCTGAAGAGTGGATTGTAGTTTGGAGGGGGGCTTTTGCTGTCCCTGGGGTAGAATTTAAAAACTCACATTTTGCTAACCCAGAGTCTACGATGATACAGATCTGCTTTCCTAGGGCCTATCTGCAAAGAACAGGTTTTTTTCTGAAGTTTCTATTTTTGATTGTTCCTTATTCAGCTCATTCAGAAGGTGGCACTCCAATTTATGAATAAGAGCATATGTACACAGACCTAAGCAGCTGACTAGCTTTAAATTCATAATTCCTCATTCAAATTCTTAATTCCTCATTAGCTTGCATGTGCAAACTCTCCTCAGATCCTAATCCAAGTCCCGCTGGTGTCAGTGAGAATGGGTTTTACCTCTCAAATTTAGCCATCTAAAAATCAGGCATGTATTCTAAACGCAACTGTGGAAGAGCCACTTGTAGTCAAAATAGAGAAAGATCAGCATTTCCAGAATGTGATTCACACCATCTGCCTTAAAGACTTGTCTTGAGAGGGGACAAGTGTATTTCTGGCAGCCGCTACCTCATTCCCCTGCCTTTCGAGGGAGTTCTGTACAACTAGCCTAGAGGAGTCCTTACTTTTCGATAAGGGAAGCCAGGGGAAGGAATCTTTCTGTTTATTTTAATGGAAAAAGATTCAGGCTTTCAGTTTTCTACATCCTTTATGCCAAGATAAATTCCAAATGTGTAAGCAAGGCCCCAGAGGGTATCCCAAGTTGCATCCCACAGACTGCTAACTCTGGCTTCAGTCAGCTTTTGGGATATAAGGAAAAGATATATGAACTCCTGAAACAGAATTAAACCTTTTTTTAATTATTGTTTGTACCTTGCATCATACTGGACTGCCTGACAGAGAGCACAATTTAATAGAAATCTCAAAGCAAAGGCAAAAGCTTTTTGTCTGTCTTCTCTAAAGACACATACAGTAGGATATGTGAAATGTCAGGAATAATTAGACAAAACTATATAAGCTCCTAGCAACACTAATGTGCTGTGTAAAACTAAGCATTTGCCATAAAGTTTTAAACATTGTTTGAAAGCTGCATGTTAAAGGTAACCTGAGTAATTTTTAAGTACTGTTTCCAAGATATTAATGTAGACATGGGTATGAAAAAACAGAATAGAAAACTATGAAATGCTGGCATGCCTTTTCAGAGATAGGCTGCTCTGTTTCTTTTTCCAAAGGTGATATATAGAAGTAATTGATCCCTCTCATATAGCAATTAAAATGAAAAGGCAGATTTGTGATGCTTGACTGTGTCCAAAGAAGAGGAATGAAGCTGGTGAAGGATCTAGAGAAGGCGGCCCACAAGGAACAGCTGACGGAACTGGGGTTGTTTAGTCTGGAGAAAAGGAGGCTGACGGACATCTTATTTTGCTCTCTCCTCTGAAAGGAGGTCGTAGCCAGGTGGGGGTCGGTCTCTTCTCTCAAGTAACAAGTGATAGGACAAGAGGAAATGGCCTCAAGTTGTGCCAGGGAAGGTTGGATACTAGGAAAAATTTCTTCATGGAAAGGGTTATCAATCATTGGAACAGGCTGCCCAGGGAAGTGGTTGAGTCACCATCCCTGGAGGTATTTAAAAGATGTGTAGATGTGGAGCTTAGGGACGTGGTTCTGTGGTGGGCTTGGCAGTGTTAGGTTTATGGTTGGACTCGATGATCTTAAAGGTCTTTTCCAAACTAAATGATTCTATGATTTCCTCAGCTCTTCATCTGCTGGACCCTATTCAACAAGAAGAAAAAGGGACTTTTTACAAGGGCATGTAGAGATAGGATGAGGAGTAATGATTTTAAACTGAAAGAGGGTAGTTTTAGATTAAATGTTAGGAAAAAATTCTTTACTGTGAAGGTGGTGAGACACTGGAACAGGTTGGCCAGAGAGGTTGTGGATGCCCCATCCCTGGAAGTGTTCAAGGCCAGGTTGGATGGGGTTTTGGGCAACCTGGTCTAGTGGAGGGCATCCCTGCCCACAGCAGGGGGGTTGGAACTAGATGGTCTTTAATGTCCTGTCCAACCCAAACCATTCTATGATTCTATGACTAGCTCCCAGTATCAATAATTCACAGAGATCATAGAAGTGTTTGTTGGAAGGGACCTCTAGAAGTCCCTCAGTCCAACCTCCTAATTAAAGTGATCTCTCCAAAGCCAAAGAAAAAATAACCAGTTCACCTCAGC